GAGAGGGTCGTCGGGATTTTTCCTACAAGGACGCCCATCATCGTCACCTAGTGTACGTCCCTAATTGGCCCCTGTCCACGCCCAACTATACTGTGGTCTGCCCATGTTAGTTCCAGAGTTGGCCGACCCATCACACACAAAATACCCGTTCCCGAGTCCTGCCTGGTCCGTGGAGTCGTGGTACCCCAGCATCTTTGGCCTGGACCCCGGGACCAGCGCCGCGACTGGTTGAACCTGAGGGTACGGAGTACACTACGAAGTACACACCAGAGCGGCCGAGTGAAGGAGAGAGACACAGATAGACACCACACACCCGCACGCCTCTGCAGAAAGTTGAGCGGACGCTACCCAGTAGCCCACGCATCTATGTACATAATGATGTCCCACCCTCCTTCTTTTCACACGAGGGTCCTCTTGATCGGTTCTGGGCTTCTTCGTCGTTGCTTCTGCTCACGTCTCTCCTTGATACCCCGAGTTGCTGTTGCTACGCTACCATCAACCGGCCTCGCCCTGACCTGACCTGTCAGCTCCGTTCACGGATCATGACGGTAGCGAAATAGTCAGAGACGTCTCTGCCCCATGCTGCAAAACCTCGCCGACAACTTATACGCCGCTTCGTCCTTCCTCGTTCGCCGGAATATATACGAATATCTGGGATACGGTTCAAGTGAAAACAAACCTTGGACTTCAGCGGGACTGAGGACGTTACTTGGGGAAATTGTTCAAACTACACGCCATTGAAAGGCATCTGGCACCGAAAATAGCCGTCAGTACCACGATCATCACCACCTCGATATATCTCTACGCTTGAGCACCATCGCTATACTGCGATACCCGTCCACGCATTGTCCAAAGTAGTAGTGGCTGCTGGAAGAGGACCATCACCAAGCGGCTGCCCGACTCGACCACGAACGGAAATTTGAACCGCCGCACAAATTTAAGTCGCCCGTCAGCTATAATTCCACCATGGCCAACGAATCTCTCGCAAGGGGAGGCTGCCCCATACCATTCTACTCTGCGAGCTTGTTTCCAATCGACGAAGGGTGTAAGTTTGATGAGCTACAGCATGACGGGTCAAGTCGTTGACCTTCCATAGTTATCGAAGGCCGGTTATGCCAAAACTTGAGCGCGACCTTGCAGTGTTGCTTGCCCTGCCCGCTTACAGACTGGGTCTACCCGGATTACTTCAACACTCTGACGACGGCAGCCAACTGGGTCTGCGTCGCAAGCGCAGCATGCTGCCTCTTCCTCCTGATATCATGGGCTGTTCTGCCTGTTGATAAAACCTATAGACATTACCTCAGCATTTGCTTGACAATAGCCGTGTTCATTATGAACGTAAGTAGCCTGCCCTTCGCCTGCCCTTCGGATAGGGACGAGGGAGACTGACTTTCCCTTCAGCTTGGCTTCGTCGTGCCACTTGCCGATCAACCAGAGCAATGCTACAACGACATTACACCGCACAGCATGAAATCTAGCAAAGTCTGCGGTGCCTCTGGGGCCTTTCTCTTGCTCGGAGGCTGGGCCGGTGTCATGTGGGTCTTCTTGCGATCGTTGTCCCTGCATCTCCAGATTTGTTGGCAAGTTGTCGTGGGTCGCAACTTCATGATTTTTGCCCAAGCTACGGGCTGGGGTATTCCGCTTGTTGGCATCGTCGTTGCCCTCGTCTTCAGTGGCGTGTCCTTCCGATTTGGCGCTACCTGTCACATCAACCACAAGAACAGTCTTGCCGACTTCTGGATACCTCTGCTTGTATTCGCCGGTCTCACGGTCATCATCCAATTCGCCACTTTCGGATATTGTATCAAGGTCTATCTTGCTTCCCTGGCCGATAACAGTGCGTCGACAGAAGGGTCGAGCTTGCCCACGTACAGCAATAGCATCCAGACGATGAGCCCCCGCCAAGCGTACCGCCGAGTGCGACGTGTCATTTCTCTTCAATGGAGAGGTATCGCTATTGTTCTCATCATTATTGCCGACGTCATCTTCTTCTCTGTCGTCTTCGTGTTCCAGGACAACACGGTCCAGGCAGTACATGACGACGAGAGCATAGCCCAGGCTTGGATTCTCTGTCTGGTCAGCACCAAAGGTGACAGGACGAAGTGTTTGGACAAGGCTAAGAACATGGTTGTCAACGAGGCAACTATCACGGCGGTCCTGATCCTTCTGGCGGTAAGTCACGCGCCCCTATGCCCTATACACTTTCACAGGTGACTGACTTGATCCAGATGAATGGTATCTGGCTGCTCTTCCTACTGGGTCGCTGGGCCATGGTCCTTGGCTGGGTTGACCTCTTCAGCTCCTGCCTAGGCAGAAACAAAAAGGAATTCGTATCGGTGGATGCCAGATACGATGTCAAGAAAGACACACGTGCGTACGAGATGCTGTCTAGAGACTCGAGCGCTGTTGTAACACCAATCTCTCCAGTCAAATCCCCCATCGTAAGTCCCAACAGCGAACGACGAAGAACGCCGGATTACTTTGGGCAGACCGCTCGCTATCAGCCGCCGATGCGGTCGTTCTCGAGTCCTCGACCGCCGCAAACACCTCCCACCTGGGATGCGCGAGCAACTTACGCTCGGCCCGAGTCACGATCCCGAGGGGACGGTTTCGATGACATGAACCCACTTGGGATGAACCGCATATAATGGGACGAAGCGGCTGGTCATGACGGAACGAGAAGAAGAAGAAAAAAATTCAAACGAAGAGAACAATGCGTCTGAAATCGGACGAAACCATATTTCAAGCGCCTACTTTCAAGCGAGCGCGCGCAACAATACCCGACACCCTAAAAGGAGTGGCACCATTCGGCCGAAGTTGGATGTTGCCCGCGTTGATCCGCGCTGACGGTGAACACTGACCAGTGTTGTAAAAAGAACTTGAGAAAGATGATGTAATGTGGAGGAACCACCGGCCTCGTCGGCCATGTCAATATGTCAAGAAAAAATCAATGTAATATCAGCGTCGGCGTCTCGGTCTCGTTTATGCCGCGAAGGAACGCGAAGAGTATGTTGCCCCCACAATTTAAAGACCCGAAAGAAAGGATTGTGGGAAGGTCGGCGGCGGGAGCCTCTCTCTTATTGATGGATGGGGGCCATGGGCCTCGGCGCTTCAGTATCGGGGCGGGAGAGGGAACGGGATCGGCGGAACGAATCACGATTGACGGACATGTAGGAGCAGTTGAGAGTCCGAAAAATAGAAGAGTCACGCGACTACTTAATGCGAGATGGCCTTATCAAGTACCGGATTGTGCATGTCCTAAGTTCCCCCAACGGCCCAATGGGTGGAAACATAAGGAAACTACCGAACAAGGATGGTGGTGGTGGTGTTGTTGTGGGTGGGATTATGGGATAAGCCCGCCCGGAAGATGCGGAATGGTCGGGATTTTCACAAGTGATGCGAGGAGCAGCAGCGGAGGGGGGCCAAACAAATCTCAGCAATCGCATTAGAGCGAGCCATTGATCAAGTGCCATGTCATTCAATTCCATTGCATCCCAATGCTTTCCGCTCCGGCTTCTTCGGAGGGACCCAGGTCTTGACTCCTGCTAGGCTTATGTGATGTAAGCGGGAAGTGCAGATTGATTGTTCGGGCGGTGGACGGACTTTTTCACTCATCTGCCCATTCTTTTGATTATAAGTAGATTGGGCTTCCAAACGGCAGGAATTTTCACAGACGAGTGTAGCCCCTTTTTCTTACACTTGTATTCAAACGTCTCGTCATTGATACTGAGAGACTGTGACCGAAACGTGTGCATGACTTCTGACGACGAGACATCAATAACGACGAACTGTTGATCCTAGCTTACACCAACAAGGACAGTCATATCAAGTCATTGTTTCAGGTACTGAACCGACTGGGTTTTTAAATTCACTTGATCCAAGCCACCACGAACAACAAAACAGAAGAAAAACGTTTGATCCAGCGTCAGAATTGTTGACGATCAACAATTGTAGGCGGTACTGAGGTTTGGCCTGAAAGTTTGGGCGGCATCGAATAACATACCGAAAGCGAAAACCACGGACGACAGCGGAACCTGACCGAGAGGCAAATAAAGAAGGGAAGGGAAATCAGACTGACAGGAAAAAAAACCCATCAATACCGCCAAGACGGAAACGGCCTGACGTCGGCAAGGGCTGTGCGCGTATTGGGTGTAAGCATTTCACCGGGCGACATCAAAACGAGACGAAAGGGAACATCGCGAAGGAGCGAAACGAGCAGTCCGAACATTGAAGCGTTGCGTTCCCGAGCACGTGGTCGAAACACTCTTATACCTTGCCCAGGCTGAAGTCTCTCGAGGAAATCAAAAGTAAGGAACACCTCGTTGTAGGGAAAAGGCAAAAGCAAAAGCAGAAAACGGGCAGGTTCAAAGTGTGTGAGGTCATCTTGCCCGTTTGTTAGGTTATCGGCATCGTCGGGACAAGCTCTGCAGTCTGCACCCCTCGTCCGTCGTCTGTCGGATCTGAGGCTTTGTCCTTGCAGCAGGGCTGGCGCTGGAAAGAGACTAGTTTGACCCGGCTTGACACCACCACCTCCCGCACAGAGCCCACCGCTTCCCGATCCCGCCAAGGGGAGCCTCTCAGCGGACTCACCCCTCAGCCCTCAAGGTGGTGACACCGGACTCCACTGATTGGACAGCAAGTTCCATAACCCCAACCTTATCGCTTATCGTATCGGAACATTGGTGATGCCGTTTTCCGAGATCTTCAAGCTGAACCCCGGCACGCCGGCCAGGGTTTGGCGCTGGAGCGCGGGACGTCCCCAACCTGGGACGCCGATTGATGACATCGAGCAACCGAGCACTCCGCCAGCTAGAGGCGGTGTCTACCTCCCGAGCATAGACAATTCTGCGACAACTGAAGATCATGGAGCCTCCTCCACTGGCCTCTTCTTGCGCAAGATCTCAATCTCACCCCAGCCCTCTTCACCAACAGCAACAACACATTCGAGATTAAGAAGGAGAACCTGCCACCTCGGTTTCGTCAGATTCTCGTCCTTTAGAATGTTTCTCATCCTGTCCCTCGTCTTCCTCGGCGGCTACGTCCACTACCTGTGGAAAGCAGAGGCCGCTCTCGGTGTCCCCTGGGTGCCCGACCCGGAGGCCCAGCTGTTCCAGCAGCGGCCCCTCTTACCTCCGGCCCAGGAGACCAGCATGGACACGTACTCGCTGCCGCTGCACACAAAGGGCCGGGATATTGTCGACGAGGAGGGACGTCGCTTCAAGCTCCTATCCGTCAATTGGTATGGCGCCAGCGACGAGCTCAACATCCCCGGCGGACTCGACGTTCAGCACCGCGACGTTATTGCACAAACCATTCGCGGGCTGGGCTTCAACAGCGTCCGCCTGCCCTACAGCGACGAGATGGTCATCACCGATCCCCCGATCCCGGCCGAGCTGGTCGCCGCCAACCCGGACCTGATTGGCCTCAAGGCCCTCGACATCTTCGAGGCGTGCGTGACGGCACTGACGGACGCGGGCATCGCCGTCATCGTCAACAACCACATCACGCACTCGACCTGGTGCTGCGGCGCCGACCCCTGCGACGCCCACTGGGCCAACGACCACCTCGGCCCGCTGTGCCGCATCAAGCAGACCGAGGAGGACTGGATCCAGCACTGGGAGAAGATTATGCTCCGCCTCGTTGACAACCCGGGCGTCATCGGCGTCGACCTGCGGAACGAGGTGCGCGGCGTGTGGGGCACAATGACCTGGGACAAGTGGGCCACGGCGGCCGAGAAGGCCGGCAACAGGCTGCTGGAGATGAACAAGGACTGGCTCGTCATCGTCGGCGGCACCGAGTCCGGCAACGACCTCACCGGCGTCGCGAAGCGGCCCGTCGTGCTTGACGTGCCCGACCGCGTCGTCTACTCGGCCCACGTATACGCCTGGTCCGGCTGGGGCAGCCTCGAGGGCCGGTACTCGAAGCGGGCATACGCATCCTTTGTGAAAGCCATGCGGCACAACTGGGCCTATCTCGTCGAGGGCGACGTCGCGCCCGTGTGGGTAGGCGAGTTTGGCGCTCCGCACCAGCCCAGCATCGGCGACGCGAATTACTGGAACAACCTGCTGCGCTATCTCAAGGTCATTGACGCCGACTTTGGGTACTGGGCCGTTAACCCGCGCAAGCCAAAGGATAACGTCAAGGAGACGTATGCGCTCGTCGAGGACGACTGGGTCACGCCCGTGCTGGATTACCGGATGAAGGACATGGTTGAGATTATGAGGGCGTAGTGCGCTCCGCAGTTTTGGCTGGATGATGAGGTGTGCCTGCTAGAGTCGCGAATTAAGGAGCTCTTGGCGACGATGTGTATTTGATGACACGGGAGATGGAAAATGGTTCCCTGTTTCTTACCACTTCCCCTCTAATGGCGTTTTACGGAATGGTTCTTACTATAGGCACCTTGGTTTATTCCCTGGGAGTGCCAGCTTCGGATACCCGGCTTTGGTCAGGCACGAGCTAGACGGTCACTGACGATTATGTCATAAAAACTGGCGAATAAGTCATACGTTGGGATTAGGATGGCAGTCTTGATATAAGCAATTGGATTTATGAATGGCCACGCAGTCAATGAATAAAAGACCATTGGACAATTACTTGATCCCTCTCTCGTCCCGTGTGAGGCATTCGCCATGGGTGATACAAAGCATTATTGCTATGGACTGATATGTTTGCGCTGATCATGCTAGTCCACGTGGGAGGACACGATGAAGAACTCGGTGGATGGTCTATAATGGCTATGATGATGGGAATATCGGTCAGATGGCACGTCCGTGGCCTTGATGCTTAATCTGTCTCTTTACCCAGAGATGCGACCATTGTCCGTGAACAGAGACTTTCATCCACGCCACTCTGTGAGCCCTGGTAATAGAGGCTCACGGATACCTTAGGTATAGCTGCCCTCGTCTCTGGAATGTTTCCTCCCCGCAAAACGTGCTCGCTGAAACAGTCGACCCCTCCTCTCCAGACAAGCAATCCAGCAAGGTGACCCCAGCATCATCAGTGAAAGCTTCCGTTATCGATAAAGCAATGGAATGGGAGACGCAGGTGCCACCTGACCTCCGGTTCCCGTCATCAGGCCATCACCTTATCGATAACCGCAAATTAAAGTGGAGTCACACCCCTCAGTGGGTGTGCCGCCGCGCGGGCGAGTTGGAGGTGGGAGGTCCCGGAGAGTGGTGGTGTGTGTGGGTTGACGACAAACGGCCAGAGGGAAGCTGCGGATGAGCTGCGGCGGGGAGATGAGGAGAGGCCATTCTTCAGACCTCACCTTCCACCAACCCACTTTCTTCGCGCAACCAAACACACTTTTCGGTCGTCGCAACGACAGTGTATTTCCTTTTCCGTCGGAAACGGGCAAAGCCTCAAGATTCTATACTTTGACAAATCGACAACAAAGGGGAGGGCGGCTCGTATGTTGCGCGCGAGGCGAAAGGGAGAGAAAGACTCCAAGGTGCGGTAGATGGCGGGCCAACAGGGTCAGTATCATGATCGCGGCTTCCGTGAGGCTGTGTTGGGGAAGTGTCAGGTCCAGACCTGTGTCGATCGGGTACGTACGACGCAACTTTGCTTCTTTTGCATCTCTGCTTTCGTTTTCTTTAGGGCGACGCGAGGCCTCCGCAGCTTTTCTAGTAATGACCTGCATGCTGACTCTACTTCTTAGTTTGGCGACGGAGCTATCGAAGTGATCCGGCAACGCGAGCGCGACCACGTCAACGGCATCGAGAATGACACTCTTGTGCAGGGCGTCCCGTCTGACCAGATTGTGACTGGTGTTGAGGATGAGGATGCGGGCAGCTCACAATCAACGTCCTTGGAGAGGAAGATACCAAAGACGCCGTACTTTAGGAACAACCTGACAGCTCTGTCGCAGAGATATAATGTTGGATCCCCTCTTCCCGCTTCGTCGGATGCCGTGAGGAACGACCATTTGGCTAACGGATCCCCCCTTTTCCTAGCTCTACTTCGCTGCGTACGAGAACCGAGTCTTCGTCTATCGCCCCAAGGGCATCCCGAAACAGGCACTCCCTCGGGAGCCGAATCTCATTCTGGCCACGAAGCCTGACAAGATCGCGCGGCACATTGGAGGCACGCTGAGTTTGCGCTTCTCTCATCAGATCAACCACATCGCTGTCGGGTATCTCGGGAGAGAGGAAATCCTCGTTTCGGTCTACGACGATGGGTCGGTTTTCGCGTACTACACCCGGAAGATTGCAAAGTACATTGAGCGCATAGCTTCCGGTTGTCGAGAACCCAATCCGGTGCCGACGTACTTTCTGCGCGAGAACGTGGGTATTTCGGCATGGGGCATCGCGATCCATCAAAAGTCGCGGCTCATCGCCATTAGCTCCAACAAGCGGGAAGTAACCGTCTTCGCCTTTGGGCTCTCCCGCCTGCCCGAGGATATGGATTCTCATGCGAGACATTTGGATTTCTGCGAAAGATCGGTTCTCAAGAGGAAACGAAACTGGAGGATTTGCATACCCCTGGGTGAAGGGGGTCACAACATCCCCAATCTGTCTCTCTGGGACGATCATCAGGGCTACGCTGAGAAAGTTGTTGCGAATGATATCTACGGGACGACCTGGATCTTGGACATATGGAAGGCCGGAACGGCGCCATTCAAGATATCGCACAGAGCTAACGTCCAAGGGCAATGGGCGTTCCGCAATCCAATGTAGGCCCTTGTCGGACATTTTTATGCCACGTCTGCTAATCCAATTCCAGGGGCTGGGGCGTCATTGTCCTTCCGTACGAGAGTTTTCTACCTGCGCGATCTGTGACAGACCTGCTGGGCATGGAGGAGTCAGACATCATGAACGCAAAAAACTCCCATGCTGGGCGATGGATTGAGATCCAACGGGGCCTCTCTCGCATTCGTGATCACCCTGCGGAGCCGATTGCTCAGCGCATGCCGGAACCGGAAGCGTTTGGCCACCACCACGGAGCGGCATGGTTCCAGCATCAACAGCCAGCTTTCCTAGCTGCTATACTAAATAATCAGCAGTTTCTCGGACTTCCAGCGCCTCCACCGCCGCCGCCTCCTCCCCCTCCTCCGGCACCAGGCGACAATGACAATAATGCAGACGGCGGTGCTGCACCTCCTGCGAATGCCATTGCACCTCCAGGCGCCCCAGCGGCACAGAATGCGGTTTTGTTCACCCCGGATCACGAAGACGATGACGACGACGGGTGGAGCGAAGAGGAGGAAGAAATTCCGGTCGCAGCATGGGACGATTTGTCTTCGTCTTTTGATAGTGAAGAGGATGACGTGGGTGGACCCAATGGCGAGGATGCGAATGAGATCGTCTTCATCGAGGAGGCGCTTTCTGCAACGGAGGAAAACGTTGGGTCTGGCGAAGGCATGACGCAAATTTCGCCGCCAGAGATGCTTTCCAGCTTCTTCAAAAACACGCCGGACTACGACATGAGCGAATTCCAATCTTCCTGGCTGGATATGGTCTATACGCCCCACGATGGCAAAACGTACGTTGCCCCGACGACAGTCATTGGACGCCTTCAGTATCTTCGTCGACCCCTGGTCAAAAACCGAAACACAAAGGAACAGGACAGGGGCGCCCTCGAAGAGCTGGGAAGTCGGTGCTGCATCTTGCGAACCTACGAAGAGGACATTGAGATGCGCAGCATCAACCCGGACGACGGTGCGGCGGTCTTCTGCAAGGACCCAATCAGCTGGATGTACCCCCCTCACCCCTTGCTGCAGCATTCCGAGCGGCTCAACATGATTCTTCACATCCCGGAGCTGTCGCTTGTGGTGATCGGATCCGCCATGGGCCGGGCAATACTGCTGACCCCGACACGCTCGCGCTACCACATCCCGGGGAACGGGTATAAGCTGAAGCAAGGGTTCCGGATCGACCGGGTCCTGCCGACGCTTTCGGACGAAAAGGCAGGACGTCGCCCGCCTCGGGGACTCTATGGCATCGCTGCTGGTCCGATTCAGGAGGGCGGCGCGACGGGGTGTTTGCTGCGTGCTGACGATGCCCCTATTCCGTCGCCTGCGTCGAGACGGTACAGGCTCATGCTCCATTATCGGGATCATAGTATTTTGAGTTACGAGATTAGTCGGGATGACAAGAATGAGCACGTTCTCATCTTTTGAGAAGCTGTTTTCCCCCCGCTTTTTAGTCCTTTTCGGACAATGATGAGAAGCCAAATCGAGATTTGAAGAGAGAGGGCAAGGGCATTGATTCGTCGAATACATTGGAGGCTCCGGGGTGGCAGTGATGCATTTTCTTTAAGGACAAAGTGATGGCGTTTTCTTGAGGCATTTTAAAGGTTTTTTCCTGATACCCGGCCTAGTGAACTCCCCTTCTCTCTTCGTGGACTTTTGCTCGCGGAAGAGGGAGAATTTTTAGCAGAAAGATAGCTAGGCCTTTTGACGAATACGATGAACATTAGCAGTGAAACGTGTGTACTACTTGAAAATCCACTGAAGAGACTGATCTTCTCCTGGAAAGTGACTGATAGGGAGAGGGAATGAATGGGTGGGTGCTGGGGTGATGACCGCGCTGCTTAGTTTCACAAAACAGGTCTCTCTCGCGGATTCTCTTTCCAAGTGCGATGTGATACCTTACTTAATTATAGATCAAATGATATCCAAACTTCACGATATGTTTCTTGAGCTGTAGTCGTGACGAAAGTCACTGATGCTTGAGATGAGATCATCTGTGGATGATGTATCCGTTGGCCAAGGTGGAAATTTTATCCGCCTTTCGTCCTGGGTTCTTACTTTTCGATGTTTTCTTGTGGCGGCAACTTGTCCGAAGTCACTGTTCTCTTTTCTCCTGAGGGTTTTGTCTTCTTGTGTATGGTTTGTAAAATGCTTTTTGCCGGCTTGGAGTAAGCTACATGTGAACGCCGGCCGGAAGCTGGGCGTAATACGGATTGGTGGCTGTGGTACTTGATCGAGGAGAAGATGGAGTTGCATCGTGGTGGTGAAGCTCACAGAGTGTGAAATACATATGTAAATCTGCTTCGCCCGTCTCTATGCTGCTGCGAAAGGACGGCTCTCGTGGTTCAGATTTGATGGGGGACCTCCTATGATTCCGTGGGGCGTGGAGGCTTTAGTTGGGAACTATCAGCAGCGCGTTATGTGTGATATTATATTACGTAGTGATTAATCTGCGATGATGTAAGGGTGTGTGTGTTCGAAGAACTGCTCGTCAGTGAGCTCATCGAGTGGGAGACCGATTCTTCTGGAATCCATGAA